ATGAGCCATGAAGGTGCTTTCTCTTCTCTTTCTCTCTCTATCTGTCTCCAGTGAGCTCATGCACCCTCTGGCAAAAATTAACAACAACAACAAAGGCACTAAATACTCATTAAGCAAATACTTGAGCACATTAATTGATGATCAATTGTTTATTTGGTGAATGGATAAATAGGTAAATAAGTCATAGGCGAGGCGTTTTCATCATCGTCTTCAAAAATCATGAAAGTCAAATCCCTATTTAGAGTGAATACAATTTTTTTAAAGTAAAGAATCTGACTACATGAAAGAAAAGTGAAAGAGAGAAAATAATAATTAAAATGGAAACAATAGGAGAAACTCTCTATATTTACAAGAGATATTAGCCCAATAATTTCTGTTGATAAAAGATAAAAGACTAATAAACTATTTCACCATAAAATATATAAGAATAAACCAAAAACATTTGCTTGTTATGCATAGTCCTTATTGCATAAGCACCTTAATTCTGTTCATTGTTCTTAGAGAAGGTTGAAGTAGAATGAGAAATGGTTAAAAAAAAAAAAAAAAGAAAGAAAGAAAGAAAAAAGGGGGGATAAAATATGTTCAAGGATATGGAGGTATAGAGGACTGATTCTAAAACTTCAGAAATTTGACTACCTGTGAATAAGAGGATTTAAGTTCAAGATGACAGATTAATCATATATGTTTTCCTATTTAAAGATCCTGTTAAAATTATGTCTAAGATGTATAAAAAGGGATAAAGTAATAAAACTGACAAAAATAAGAGATTTACATTTTTCTGCTGATTTTTTATTATTAAAAATTATATTTTGGGGTCAGCAGATGGCATAATGGTTATATCGCTGGACTCCCACATGGTTCGAGTCCGGGATCTGGTGGCTTAAAACTTACGTAGGGCACTTGTACATCCATGCCCAAAATCCCAAGAGGGGAATAGAGGAGAAGGAATTTCAGTGTGGCCATCCCCCAGGGAGTGATTTCTCTCTTTCTGTCTCTCTGGCAAGCACATGCATGCTATAGTAAAAAATCAATCTCTCTCTAAAAGGAAAGAAAAAAATATTTTAATTGACACATAATTTTACATATCTATGGGGTACACTTGGATTTTTCAGTACATTAATACATTGTATAATGATCAAGTTAGAGTAATTAGTGTATCCATCATCTCAAACATTCAGTATTACTTTGTGCTGGAAACTTTCAATATTTTTTAATTGCCAGAGGATTATTAGAAATCTAATTTCAGTCAAGACAAAGATAGAGAGAGAGAGAGAGAGACCCATCCTCCTGCATTGGAATGTTGTCATAGCACAGTCCCTTATTCTCCATTTTTCCATCCTCTTGGGATTTGAGACATGTGTGTACATGTGCCCAGCATGTTCTTCAAGCTACTAGGGCCAAGATTCAAATTGTAGCTGGTCATATGGGATCTTGCTCCCTAAACTACTAGGCTATCAGGCTGACCTCTTAACATTTTTTTATATCATCTTGAAAATATACATAAATTTATTACTAATTATAGTTACCCTACTTTGCTGTAAAACATTAGAAGTCATTTCTCTTGCCTAACTATAATTTTCTTTCTCTTGCCTAACTGTAATTTTCTATCCACTAACCAACAAGAGAAAATTTTTTTTTGATAGATAAGAGATTCAACTGAAGGACCAGCAGATGGCATAATGGTTACATTGCTGGACTCCCATGTAGTTGATTATGTTTCCAGTCCCAGACCGTGACTTAAACTCAGGCCAGGCTGTGTGCGTACGTGCCCAAGATTGCAAGAGGAGAATGGAGGAGAAGGGATTGTGGTGTTGGCCATCTCCCCTGGGGGGTGATTTCTCGCTCTCTGTCTCTCTGTCTCTCTCTGTCTTTCTGGTGAGCACACGCTCCTATAGCAAAAACCTGTCTTTAAAAAGAAGAAGAAGAAGAAAAAAAAGATACTCAACCGAAGGAAAAGTAACCGGTAAAGTAGAGTTATAGAAGCCACAAACGAGACCAGGATTTCTTGCATGTAGCCTGTTAACATTTTCTTAATTCTTTGTTGTCAAGGTTGTCCTGTTAAATCACAGAGTGTTTAAAAGCATCCCTGGTCTCTAGCTATTTCATCTCATTAATAACCCTCCTCCTGGGCCAGCTCTATAATGTACTGGTTAAGGAAACAGGATTCCCACATGGCTGACCACAGTCTGAATCCTGGCCCCAACAGCTTCAAAAACACATGCACCCTTTGGCAATGTAAACAAAAAAAGAAAGAAAGAAATACCCAACCTCCCAGTATGACAACCAAAGAGTGGGGTGGTGGGTTCTTGGGTATTCATTTGATAATTGTCCACTAAATTGTTTTACATAGTTTTTAAAGAATGATGATATTCCAACAAAAAATAACAAAAGAAAAAAATACCAAATAACAAGAAACATAATTGTAAAATTTCAGAAAGTTTTTTTATTAAAAAAAAAAGTATAACAACTTCTAAAGAAAAAAATAGATCACCTAAAAGCAAATCAAATTTCTTATCAGTCATGTTTAATAAAGTAACAAAAAAATGAAACAAGATCTTGACTGGTCCAAGGGGAATTGCTTTTAAATTAAAATTTTTTCACCCAAACTATCAATTAAATGAGGTATAGAGTATAGGTATATGTTTGTTTATTATTTCTATGAGTAAGCAAGAGAGAGAGAGGGAACACCCTCAATAGGATCCTGATGCCATGATTCACCCCCAGCTATAGCCAGTCCCAGATCATGGGCACACCAGGCATACTCAGAGAGGTCTCTGGATGAAAACCTAGAATCTTTTCATGTGGGTCAGCACACAGAACAGCATGTTTTACCACTATGCTACTATCTAGCCCCAGAAAGGATTTTATTCACGTGAAATAATTCAGAAAATTTTTACCTCCCATGAACTTTTACTTAGGGAAGATACTATAATACACGACCTGGTGTATTGAGGAAGACATGGCATGCAAGAAGCCAGGGTTCTCACACAAGGAGTTGTCCTGGCCTAGACCAGGGTTTGTTGTGAAAAGGACCTTCACAAAGAGAGCAACCAGTTGAGATTGAACAGGAAGTCTCATGTTTTGGGAAAGAGGAATTAAAAGATATATATCAAAACCTTGAAAATATTTGAAGATACAGTCAGTAAAATAATAGAGAACTTACCCTCCAAAAAAGACAGAGAAAATGATTCTGGGAACATTCTTTGAATGGTATAGGAATTGTGGCAACATAATTATAAAAAACAAAGAAACAAAAAAACTTATTCTGTTAAATGTCATACACTATTTAAATAGCAATGGAAATGATAGTGCTGTTTGTTGACTTTCAACATTTATAATCATCTTATAATAGAATAAAATGCAAATATTTTCACATAAGGGAAGGATGAGGTGCTGAAGTCCTCATTTTGAATTAAAAGAGAGAATGGGGCCAGCAGATGGCATAGTAGTTACATCACTGGACTATCACATGGCCAACAGTGTTTTGAGTCCCAGATCCAGTGGCTTGAACATCACACTGGTTGCATGTACGTGCATGCCTAAGATCCCAGGAGGAGAATGGAGGAGAAGGAATTGTGGCACGGCCATCTTCCTCGGCAAGGGTGATTCCTCACTTTCCCTCTCACTGTCTCTCTCCCTGGCAAGTGCATGTGTTTTAAGGCATAAACCTCTAAAAATAAATAAACAAATAAACAAATAACATAAAAGAGTCTACAGCTGACCATAAAGAATCACACTAATACTATATACATACCAGTACTACAGTGCTCTTTAGTTATTACTGCTTTGTTCCAGAATAACTCATAAATTTTAATGACTACACTCTAAACTAATATATTGGGTTTGGCTAAATAAATGTATGGCTTAAATATAGTCATGGTTTTCATGGAGACAAAAAAACAAAGGGCTATTCTATTTACCTTTCTGTTATAATTGGTGAGGATTTAGTTCACTTAATATACTATAAAAATAGAAATGCTTCAATAAAATACACGGTGAGACACACACACACACACACACACACACACACACACACAGCAAAATACTTCAAGAACC